CACGCAGCGCCGATCTGTCGTTCCGGCCGGAATTCAACGACGGCCAGTACATGTACGACGACACTCGTACTGGAAAATGCGCGAGGGCGGAGTCGACGACCTGCTGGCCAAGCATGTCTCGCGGCTGTTCATCCGCGACCTTCACTATGCCTCCGACCATCTCCTGCAGCAGACAAAGAAGGACAGCAAGGCCGAGTCGAACGGCCAGGAGCACTTCAAGCGCTTCCTCGGATGCAACCGCCAGAACGTCTGCCTGTATCCGCCCAACATCAAGACCGGCAGCGGCTGGGAGGTCGAGTTCATGTCGCTCGAGGTCCAGCTGACCGACGAGGAGAACGCCGCGCTCATCACATTCATGGTCCTGCTGAGCCGCGCCATCCTGTCGTTCCGCCTCAACCTCTATTTGCCTATTTCGATGATGGACGAGAAACCGCGCGCCCAGAGGGTCAATGCTGCCAAGGAGCAGGTGTTCCTGTTCCGCCGCGACCTGTACACGGGCCGCGACGGCAAGTCTGGCGGCTCCGGTAGGATCTGGCGCCGCATGGCTGCTGCCGCTGCCAAGGACGCGCCCGCTGCCAGGAGGGGCCAGTCGGGCTTCATGGTCAGGGACCGCCGCGCCCCGTCCTCGTCGACGCTCGTGACAGCCAGCCATACACCGCAGAGTACATTGAGCTGACGCTCGACGAGATCATGAACGGTGCGCCGCAGTTCCGCGTCGTCGGTCTCCTGAACGCCGTGCGCTCGTACCTGAGCTCCCTGCAGCTGGAGCTGGACGTCGAGATCAAGCTGCGCCAGCAGCTGAAGCTGATCGAGAACCGTGCCAAGGGACAGACATCCACCCTGGCCGCGTACATAAGGGGCTTTGTGCAGAAGCACCCAGACTACCGCCAGGACTCGATCGTCCCGCCGTCTGTTAACTACGACCTTATGCGCACGCTTCATGACATTGAGGACGGCAAAATCAAGGCGCCCGAGCTCCTGGGATAGTTCGCCAGCCCCACACTGCACCAGCATCTCTTATATTGATATCCACCCCACACACCACACCACACCCACATCTCCACACATCTCCATCTGTCTATTTACCTGCAAGCATATGTTCTAACCACCTACTTCTGTCTTTTGTGCACTTAGTAACGAATTCAATACCCAATCCTCTTAGAAAAAAAAAAACGTGAAATGAATACTTTATGAGCGCCGCTGTTTTGCGTTTCCTGCACAAGCTTGGTGAACAGGCTGTCCTCGTTTGCAAGCAGATTCTGCGGGCTGTCGTACTCTGCCAGCCGGCCACCGTCCATGACCAGGATCATGTCGCTATCAAGAACAGTGTTGAGACGGTGGGCGATGGTAAGGACTGTGCACTCCTTGAACTCGCTGCGAATCGTCTGCTGGATGACTGCATCGGTGGCACTGTCGATAGCGGCGGTGGCTTCATCGAGCACCAGGATCTTGGCGCGCTTGAGCAGCGCACGGGCCAGGCAGATCAGCTGGCGCTGGCCAACGCTGAAGTTCTCGCCGTTCTGGGCAACAGCAAACTCCAGACGCTGGTCCTTGGAGCGGATAAAGTCGCCCAGATGCGCGTTGTCCAGTGCACACCAGATCTCCTCGTCGGAGTATTTGCTGAACGGATCCAGGTTCTCGCGGATCGTGCCGGCAAACAGCACCGGATCCTGGGGGATGATCGACAGTCGACTGCGAACATCAAAGAGACCGAACTTGGAAACATCCTCGCCGTCCAATAAAATCTGACCAGACGATGCCTCGATGATACGGAACAGCGCCAGAGTCACCGACGACTTGCCAGCACCAGTGCGTCCAACGATGCCGACCTTCTGGTTAGGCACGCGCGGAACGACAGATCCTTGAGCACCAGATCCAGACCTCGCGGTAGCGCGTCGAGTAGTTGCGGAACTCGACAGCACCCTGCTCGGGCCAAGTCTCTAGCGGACGGCAGTTTTCAATACCTCTGATGCCTCGCTCTCCAAGCGCGAGTAGTCCATAGCACGCTCGGCTGATACCATTGTGATTTCGAGTGCAGCAGTGGCCCTCACACAAGAGTTTAGAACACCAACCATCGATATCGCATATGTCAACGACAGACTAGCATACCCGCTGTCCAGCGACCCGACGAAATACAAAGTCAGCACGAGCAAGAGCGTAGTCGCAAGGATAATGAGCGCAGCAACCAGGTCCAGGCGGCATGCCAGCCAGCGATTGGCAAACAAAAATGTCCAAAGAGTTGTGGTAAACGCCTCAGAGCGTGCAGCACATCCCTGCTCGAACGACGCCTTGCGGCCATATGCCCGGATCGTAGCAGCGCCCTGCACTGCCTCCTCCGTGCTGGTAATCATGGAGTTGCGCGCTGTGTTCTGGATACGACGAAGCTCGCGTGACGTTGGCATGTACAGTCTCTGGACCGGATGAAAATGTAGGCAACAGGCAGGATAAACACCAGCGACAAGGGCACAGCGACAACAATCAGGGCCAGCGCAATACCAGTTCGCAAGATGTTGTTGAGCCACCATCCAAAGAACTTCGGGATGTTCTCGTCGATCTGCGACTGGTCGCTACTGAACAAGCCCAGGATGCGGCCCATGGGCGTTGAGTCAAAGAACGACATGGGCGCGTGTAGCACACTCTGCAGCATCTGCGCATGCGTGTTTCTGGCTCCGTTGACTGCACATACGAGCCACAGAAGCATCCACACACCAATCATCGACAGAGCGCTAGCCATGCCCAGCACACTGTAGACAGCCAGATAGTAGAGAGCCTGGTTAGCAGCGTCGCCGTCTCCACTCTCGTTGAGCCTGGTCCAGCGTGCGAGCCACAGGCTGCTGTCGACTGAGAAGAGAAGAGCAATGATCGATGTGGCTACCAGCATGATGATACTGCGTGTGCCGCAGGCACGGATGTAGTACATTATTGCTCCGAATCCAACTGAGCCAACGTGCTGCTGCTCACCCTTGATAATCGCATGCTCTGTGGTGCTGTGAGTCTGCACGGTGGCATCGTGCACTTCTGAGCTAACGCTAGCACAGCCCAGGGTGCGCCTACGGATCGGCTCCTGGGCATCTGCCAACGAAGGTTCCGGATCAAGCTGACAAGCGGCGCCAGTTTCGCAGCTATCCGCCTCGTCTAGCGAACTGTGCTGGTGGTCTCGGTAGCAATGCCTTCCATGAACTCAAATGCCTCACCTTTTGACACCGCTAAATGAGCAAATGCCCCCTGTTCGACCACTTTGCCATCGTGCAACATCACGATCTGGCTCGCAGCACCAGATACTGAATGGCGTTGGTAACGAAAATGCGAGCGCGAGTTTTCAGCAGACCATTCGGGCCTAGAATATGGTTAAAGATGTGCTTGCCGACATGGTATCGACAGCAGATAGCGGATCGTCCAGCAGATACACATCGGCGCGGGCGTAGACAGCGCGGGCTAGAGACACACGGACTTCTGGCCACCCGACAGATTGATGCCCTTCTCGCCAATCTCGGTCATATCTCCGCCAGCAGCACCTCGAGGTCGGCGCGAAGCGCGCATGCATCGATGACCCTGTCATAAAACTCCTGCTCGAGCTTGTTGCCAAATAGGATGTTTTCTCTGAGCGTAGCGTTGAGGATCCACGGTTGCTGAGGTACAAGGGCAACCGATCCGCGTACAGTCACCGAGCCAGCAGACTTGACCATATCGCCCAGCAATGCCGAGATGACTGACGATTTCCCGAGCCGACCTTGCCGATAACTGCGACAAGCTCTTCACGATGGCACTGAATGCTGATGTCCTTGAGGATGCTGCCTTCATCCGGACACCATTTAAAAGACCCTTTAGTGATCTCAACAAGAACATCATCCGATGAAGCAGTCTCCGCATACCGGTCATATTCGGTGTTTTCAACCGCATGCGGGTCGCGGTCAGCGCTCAGCACAAAATTTCGGATGCGCTATACGACTGGACAACGCTGACAGCCATTGATAGTATCGGTGGCCCCTGCGAAATCGGATCCTGAATCATGAAAAATAGAGCCAACGAAACAAAATCAGCTGCGACGTCAGTGGACCATGGCTCTCGCCATCAAACGCCGCGTATGTTGCAAAGTAGTCAGGTGATGAGCACGGGCGTGAGCGAGCTGACAAAGAGACCATCGAGTTCCAGATGCCCATCTGCCTTAGCGCCTTCAGCTCTCGGTGTTGCGAATATCCTCGATTTTGGACACAAACGCGCTCCCACGCGTACAACTTGATGGCCTTCATGTTGCTGAATGTTTCGGCGACTACACGCATCCTCTGGTCGCGCTGCGCATAAACTGCTTTGTACTGGCACCAACCTTGTTAGCAAGACGTATGTTGACATACGTGCTACCCACAACCAATGCAAGGCCAACTAGCAGCTCCAGCCGATGGTCGTGTAGAGCAAGTAAACTATGACGATAACTTGAAGTGGATATTCCAAAATCATGCATGTAGTGGATGAATGCGGCAACGTTATCGGCGTCTACGCTTAGATACGAGACATCTCACCAGTCGGTGGTGTGTGCGTGCTTCGTTGGAGATTGTCAGCGCTTTGCGGAATATGATGGCTGCAAATACCCTGTGTAGATACATGTACAGGAACGTAAGTGCAAACCAGTACATCTGAAACATGAGAGCCTTGATGACTGCTGGCACAGCCATGCACACGGCAAGGAACAATCCATATTCAATCGCACTGCCTTCGGGAGTGCCATATGTCTGTATGAACCCAATAGCCTTCTTAAGTACAAGCGGCTGCAGTAGTAGTGCCGTGGTGGCGATCGCAAGGTAGATGCCGCCTTCGATAAAGTGATGCAATTCGGCTCTGCTCAAGACACGCATAAGCGACGGACTCGGCTTCTGCAGTTCGCGACTCCAAGTTCCAAAGAACTCGTTTGCGGCAGTCTGACCACGACATCCCTTGTGGAGCGGGTACGTGTCATCTATTTTGAACACTTGTGTAAACGGCTTTTAGGGCCGGAGTAACCCACGAGTATGTTAGTCGCGAATATATGTTCGCATGCGCTTAGGGTTGTACCGCTCACCATCACACTCCAGGCGGAAATAGCGTTCCGAGGGAGTGACCTGGAGTTCCAAGTAGAACACAGTGGCAACGGCCACCAAATACACAGCCTGCGGCCATTTGGTCGGCCAGTCACCAGGAAGTTTGCCAGACCGGTAACTGTTGCGCACAGACATCGCCGCCACAACCCAGTTAGCAGGCCAGAATGTAATCAGAATATCTGATGTGTATACGCTGTGTCTGTGCTGAAGAACGTGGAGCCTCAGTGCTGCTGCGGCCGCCAAGACCTGAGCGGCCGCCGGAATGATAGCTAAAAGTCTCCATTCGACTGAGACAGCCAACTGGAGCACGAAAAAGATCGATATGCTGGTAGCTAGGAACAGTGATACAAATTTGGTACGGGTGGTCCAAGGACATGGGTAGTAAGAGCGGTCAATGCACGGGAGCGTTGCTAGCTGAGGCAACCGAATGCACGCCGCCACAACAACTGCCAAGCTGATAGCAGCAGACGCTAGGCTCGTCCATTCTTCGACTGATAGCGAAATGCTCGGCAGGTAACTGTCTGCCATCTGCAAAGAAAGTATAAATTCCAATTGAGCAAACAGCAAAAGGGACTAGAAGAAGCGAAGCAAGGTGGGGGAAAAAGTCCAACAACCCACGGTTCACGCTATGCGGCCATGTGTATCCGGAAACCAGAGTGGCCAATCTTATGACTCAGGACTGTGTAATCTTTTTTAAAGCAAGCTCTAGCATGCTTAGGCTTGAGAAGACAGGTGGCTCTAGACAGGCTGCTAGAATGCTGGGGATAATGAAAATGACTGCGAATAAACCGGCGTGAATAAGCCGGCATGGATAAAGATCCATAGAACA